AAAAACTGTCATACATGTATGTATGTATGTACATGTAGTTTGCAGGCAGGAAAGAAAAATGCACAACGCCAACGGTTTACTTGAAAGTGACCCGTGAGTCAAACGTTGAACGCCGACTACTAACAAGAGTAGGGCTATGGAGACAGTCTGCAGTGCGTCGCCTCTCCAGGGAACTGCGGATGGTATGAAGCGGCGAGACAGGTTCGCGAACTCGTAAAGTTGCCTGTGCAATGCTGTCGAACCTTCACACCGGCAGCATTTTCATGTCAGTGAATTGATGAGGCATAAAGTGACATGCTGGGAACTGTCAGTAGCATGTCAATATTGGCATTACTCCTAATTATTTTACAAGTCGTGCAGCATGTACTGCCCTGATTGTCTTCATACCTACCTTTCATTCATCTACATGTACGGTGTTTCATTCATCTACATGTGTTTCATTCCTTGCCTCCCCTCCTTGCTACCGATACCACTATGTCTGACCAAATGTCCAAAAGGATCTTTTCTCTCGACATGTCTTTTCTCCCAATGTTCTTATCCTCCTTTCGCTTCTCGTCATGCAGATTTCTCTCCCCACCTCACAAACTCTCTCTCTCTCTCTCTCGCCCTCGCTCTCTCTCTCTCTCTCTCTCTCTCTCTCTCTCTCTCTCTCTCTCTCTCTCTCTCTCTCTCTCTCTCTCTCTCTCTCTCTCTCTCTCTCTCTCTCTCTCTCTCTCTCTCTCTCTCTCTCTCTCTCTCTCTCTCTCTCTCTCTCTCTCTCTCTCTCTCTCTCTCTCTCTCTCTCTCTCTCTCTCTCTCTCTCTCTCTCTCTCTCTCTCTCTCTCTCTCTCTCTCTCTCTCTCTCTCTCTCTCTCTCTCTCTCTCTCTCTCTCTCTCTCTCTCTCTCTCTCTCTCTCTCTCTCTCTCTCTCTCTCTCTCTCTCTCTCTCTCTCTCTCTCTCTCTCTCTCTCTCCCTCTTTACCACCTTGGCTCTGCCCCATGCAGGTCCCCTACATTGGCTACAAGTACATTGTACATGTATTTCGAGATGTGTCCACAACCCTGGGTTACTCCCCTTGCAAGCCCTACATGGTTGTTCAGACTGTGACAGTGCAGGATTACTAATACTAGTACTAGTACTCAGTACCTATGCAGTAGTATTGACTATTGCACTGTATGCTCGATCAAGATTGACAGTGACAGGGCGTACAGCGTTGAGACTGATGTGGGAGAATCCCAGACATCGGTACTGTTATGCTATACAGTGGCGACGTGCAAAAATGTTCCTTCTGTCCAGCCAGGCAGCTAAACAGCTGCATGGCTTATTGGCTGCCGGTAAAGGTCGAACCTGGCGATAAATGAAGATTATGAATATGAGCTGCGCGTGGAATGAATTGAGCGTGGTTGGGGACGATACGCCTGCCAATCAATGCAAACTGATTTTGAGTTCTGCAGCGTGTGATGAGTTCAGGATAAGAAAGCCGAGGGCCCTCCTCCTCTTCTCGGTTTGATTCTCCATGAATGAACATGAACTGTAAACAGCCACGCAGTTGTGCACGTACAGGTACATGTACATGACACAGTATCCGCAGAATACATCTACAATGAGTCAGAACAGATGACTGCACATGCCAAGCCAACAGGCGGGCGACCGTGTCTACACGATACCAGCCATCACAATGACTGGTGACGTGAGAAAGGCATTAATTATTCACATTAATAATTCACCTCACAGACATGACTATACCCATACACCCAGACAGACAGACACACACACGCGCGCGCGCACGCACAGATACAAACATGCCTCCAACACGGCCACAGCAAGTGATGGCATGTGGCTAAAAAGTAGTAAAGACTGCATGGCTGTGACTTTTAACAGTCAGTATAATGTATTATGCATGGTGCACTTGCGGCTTGGTTTACTGGTACAATCACGTCTACACAATTATGTACATGTACAGGGTGGAACCCTTCACGTTGGTTCGCTATAAACGAAAAGGGTTCGCTACGAAGGGTGAATTCTGTATGGGTTCAAACAGGGACATGGACAAAGTCAATGGTTCGCTACAATTATCACCACGAAATTCGCCATACATGTACATGTACATCATGTATGCGAAATCGTTATACAGTGGTCCCTCTATAATCCGGCACCATTTGTGCCACGAAAATCTGCTGGATTAGGGAGGGTGCTGGATTAACAAATCTGATTTACTGCTGCAATGTGCATGAAGAGGACATTTTGGCTACTGAAAATTGTGCTGGTTTATCGAGGGTGCTGGATTATAAAGTGCCGGATTAGAGAGGGACGACTGTACATTGTAGGTCCACGTGGAGTCGATATACATGTACATGTACATGTACAAGGTCATGCACATGATTGTACATGATTGTACTCCCGCATTCTACTGTGCAGACGATGGCAAGCCTACACCACTGTACACAGACCAGTGATCATTATGAGTCTGTCAGAAGATCATGCCTCATGGCTGTCATGGTAGATTCTCAACCCAATGACTTGGACTAGACTGAAATCGGTATGGCTAGTATATTATGGAGGTAGTAGTGGGACATATAAATGTACATAATAAAAAATAAATAAATAAAACTATGGGTATTACCAAGAGTATAACTCTTGGTATTACGCTCGAGCGCTCCTCGTCTTGTTGAGCACTCTCGGTAGGCTGCTCAGGTGCTGCTGCCTAACGCATTGCTATCTACTTTTCGTAGTTTTGAGCACTCTGGCGCTAGAGCCACGAGCTATAAAATGTCTGTGGTGCCTCCTTTGCACCATGGGCATGGCTGGTAGCTCGGCTTGCTTATCATTCGGCCCGGCCCAGTCTTGTCCACGATACAATGTGTGTACATTGTACTTCGAAGTTCATGCACATGTATGTGTGTTGGTACAGTATCCGCAGAGTAGAACTGATCTACAGTGAGTCAGAACAGATGACTGCACAATGTGCACATGCCAAGCCAACAGGCGGGCGACCGTGTCTCCCACATTCTCAACTGTTACTTTGAGACATCTGTAGAAAGTAGTTGGGTGGAAACATCAATTCCCAAAGCACTGCAAAAGACTTTTACGGACAATGTTTCGGCAATATTGCCATCGTCAGGTACGAATGAAACAATGGTGCCATGCTGCAGGCCAAAAAGAGCAGTTTACTAGTATTTCTTTTCTTCGGCCTGCATGGCATCATTGATGATTCGTAGGTGACGATGGCATTACTGCCGAGACGTTATATTTCAGTATAATTAATGTATTTCAATGACTACCCCGGAGGCCGTTTTGGTCTGTCGAGGGGTCTCCACTTCTGTGCAGTTGCGATAAGGATATGGGAATGCAAAGTGAGCAGAGAAAGGAGAAATAACACGACGAATAGGACAACTGGGAAGGAATAGGGCATTTGATGTGCACTGAAGTGAGCAGATCAATGAGGAAAACAAGGAATATCAGTGAATACCTTTGCAGTTGAATTGAAACTTAGCCATCCTATTTGCATGTACATGTACATGTATATGTATATGCAGTTCTCTTTTAAACTCAGCAATATTTATGATAGATGTTGTGGTAGGGGCAGAAAGTTCCACAGAGTGCCTGCCTGAAATAGAAACATCGAAGATACTATGCGTCTGTGACCATGGAAGGCTAGTTTGTTCGGAAGGCGCTCACTTAAGTCTTTTAGTAACGGTAATGTGGAACGTTGCGAGGTAATAAGGGTGTCGGAATGGACGTACTGAGTGTCTAAAGACGGTGACAAGTGAAAAAAGAACTGGCGTCTAAAGTGCAGGGATTGAAAATTGCAGAGAGAGAGAGAGAGAGAGAGAGAGAGAGAGAGAGAGAGAGAGAGAGAGAGAGAGAGAGAGAGAGAGAGAGAGAGAGAGAGAGAGAGAGAGAGAGAGAGAGAGAGAGAGAGAGAGAGAGAGAGAGAGAGAGAGAGAGAGAGAGAGAGAGAGAGAGAGAGAGAGAGAGCCGGAGAGAGAGAGAGAGGGCCAGGGGGAGAAAGAGAGAGAACAAGAAGAGAGAGAGGGAGGGAGAGAGAGAGAGAGAGGGGGGGGGGGGGGCAGGGGGGGGGGGAGAGAGAGAGGGGGAGAGACATTCAAAAGTCATCATTAAACTACTACATGAAGCTAGACGTTAAAGACTTCAAGTACAGTAATAAAGTGGAAGGGATTTCTGGGAGCTGCCGAGAACATAGCCGGATAGGGCAGCGCAGATCACAATGCACATTTTCAAGGAAACTGACTTCTATGGTACTTATAGTTGACACCCTGACTAGTCCATGTACAGAGTCAGTGTACAAGGAACTCCTTTCCGCTATCTGAGATAGCGGTAGAGCTTCTCATTTTTGTCAAGTGGTGACTGGGGTACAACTTCAAGCGCCACAGACAGTGTGTAGCGGTGCAGTGCGAGATTTCGGCCCATGCAGGACTCGTGGATGGTGCAGGTACACAGGGACATGTAGCACTATGTCACCGCACAGTCTCTGGTGACGTCTGTACAGTGTAGAAATCTACTCAGTGTGCTGCATGCTGGCAGTCTGTCTGTACTGTGATCGATTGTGCTGCCCCTCAACGGCTCAAGAGGTTCAACTGCTCAAGTGAAGAAATCCCGAAGCCTCCGAGACGAAGAATGCAGTTCCCTATTCAGTGCACTGATTGTGGAGTGTGACAATTATGTGTGCAGCTAGTCTACAAACTGAGTCTGAGGCTCATGACTATTGAGCTACTGTACTGACTGTACGGGCCAATACTAGACTAAGGCAATAGGTCATCATGTCCGTGTGATTATTTTGTGTAGTATTCAAAATGTCCGTGTTCTTCCAGACAGACACGCGCTTCACGCAGCGCAACCTTGAAACCGCGGTTTTCTGTGTGTGACGGCGGCAGCGAGTGCCCAGGTACCAGCTGGCCAGTGCATTGTCACACTGATCATACGGTCATAGCATACATGCGTGTTGTCGTGTGGAGTGGTCACTTTTCGCAGTTTCTTCAAATCTCTCGACTCCACAGCTCGAGTCGATCTACTAGTAGTACTAGCCAGCTTGCACTACCAACAGATCGTGAATAAGGCTTGGCGAGGTGCCTCTCGCGTTGCAAGCGACCGACTCGTGCGATTGTCAGGAAGCCCTCTGAGACCCGGATAGTTGGTGTTGGCCGCTGGGGGACTTCCTTGTTCCGCACCATAGCGTGGCGAGAATTTGTGTCATTGCTGCCGGTAGAGGCTAATTTCTGTGTGCATGTCCTGTCGAGCGTGAAAAACGCAGTTCTGTGGGGCCAGCCACGGTGAGTGCTGGGCTAAATTTACCACTCTGCCGGCAACTTGCAACCGTTCCATCATCGCGAAAGGGACTCTAGCCGACTGGAGAAGATCATCTGCAGTTGCCTTTAGGTAAGTAAGGCTGTGTGTTCGGGGCATATGAAGTGATGGCGATTGTATCTGTTGCGGACACTTGTAGAGAGACCCAGCGCTAGTAGTTGTTTGGTAAATGAATGAAAGTAGTTGGAACTTGTTCATGGCAGTGAGCCGTTTGGCAGCTGAGAGCGTTCGCTTGTGGCCTTCAGAAGGAAATAGTTGTGTTCATACCTGCACATAGTGGTTGTCTCTAGCTCAGGGACCAGTGCTCACTAGGTGGGCTGTGTAGCGGGTAGCGGTACCGGTCGTTCACGTGCAGCGTGAAAAATAGTTATCGAATGCATCGGTGAAGAACTACAGCAGAAGAAGCCGGTAAGGTCTCTGTAGATCTCGGCTGATACTAGTCGAAATGTTATCGTTTTGCAATTATTATTTTCGTCATGCGGTTGCTTGGCTGCTGCCGATACTAGAGCTCGCTTGGTGACCTGTGTGGCTGTGTGGACCACGCATTGAAAAATGGTCGACCTCTGGGCGACTCACTGCATCATGTTATTGACTATTGTGCGTTTGTGCATACATGTACGAGTAGTTTGACCGATTGTGTCCGTGTTGGTAGAGGCTGTTTTCCCATTGTGCGGTTGCGAAATGCGGAAACTCAGAAATTCATGTCGTTACATTATCGGCAATCAAGTACCCATCTCGTTCTAGACTTTCTAGCGCTACGAGAACATCGCACGAAGAGTATCAAGCGCATACGCAAAATTCTTTTTTCTTCCCCTTTGCCTGGCTTTGGGTTTCCTTCCTGACCCTATCGAACCAGGGCCTCTAGTAGAGGGCACACACTGCTGAGTATCGTGGCAACTACCGGCGATGTCAAGGACTAACTTGAAGGTGTGAAGTAGCTAGATAGCGTTCTTGTGTTTCTCGCGCAGCGCACAAGCTGGCCCAACACATGCTCGATGGTCTGTTTTCTTCTCCACTGTCGCACTGAGGTGACTTGCAAGGGAGTTCGGCCATTAGACCATTCATTGGACAGTGCGTCTGTGTGTGTGTGGTGTGTGTGTGTGTGAGAGAGAGAGAGTGTGGTGCGCGTGGCCCTGCGAGTGCGAGGCATGCAGAACGCTCTCTCGATCTGTCTCCTGTCCTCATAAGGATTGCAGCGCTATGGGGTCACTTTGTAAAGATAATCTGCAAGCTGAATGCACAGGCTGGATAAACACGCAGGTGTCTGCTGTTGCAGTGCTGATATAGGGAGTTCTGTGGTGATTTTTGTGGACCTGGTGTCCTATGTCTGGGTGCTTGCGAGGTAGTGTGAAGATCAGACGTATCTTATACTTCTAGTCATATTCCTTTTTTGTAACGTTGAGGGTCATGGCGGAGTTGAAATTGAAAAGTCTGCAGGAAAAAATACACACACACACACACACACACACACACACACACACACACACACACACACACACACACACACACACACACACACACACATGTACCATGTATACGCCCGTCGCAAGAGAAGCACGCAAATCTGCAAATGCACTGGATGTGTACCCACAGATTTTCTCTTATAGTAATGATAGCGAACAAGATCTGAATGAGACAGATCAAGACTTGCGCCAGATAACTGTTTAATCCACACAACTGGCGAAGCCATGTGAATCGACCACCAATGCACACCTGTTCTACACCACACGGAGTACATCGGCATAAAACGGCCAAGACAGTTACCTATGCATACCCTACACTTGCTGGGGTAACCAGTATAGATAGCACGCTGCTTTGATTGAAGCAGACACTAGATGCACTGGTACCTTGAAGTGAAATTGGGAGTTACTTTACCAACCAGCCTCGGCTACTGAGTACTGGGAACCCAGGCCAACAGACATACCAACAACCTCAGCCATGAAAGCTATTATAGTAACGACACACTGGATTGTGGAGCCGAAACTAGTCCAACTTCCAAATGCTTTGGCAAGAAGGTAGCTTTCCGACAGGTTGGACACACACACACACACACACACACACACACACACACACACACACACACACATGTACCCACAGACGTACATGAGTACGCAGTACGCAAAGGGCTTGTGTGAAAGCCACAGTGTACCCACAAGGCAGTACTAGCAGTAGTCGAGTTCAAAGCCACCAATGTGAGGCTGACGTGGATACATTTTTTGTGCTTTTTGGATTGCATGTGTTCATACATGTAAATAATAAAAACGACCATGTCCTGCGTATATCCCAGTGCATTTGTCAGAACTAAGGCTGTGTTTACATGAGAAATTTCAACCCGGGTCGAGTTCAGCCCGGGTTGAAAGTCTGTACGATAGACAAAAGAGGTGAGCGTTTACATGAAGACAGTTGACCCGGGTTAAATACTGATATGCCGCCAAAAGTCCACTTCTAGAGTCCTGTATGGTCACGTGAATCCGTTCGCGCGAAATTTGCATCTGCAGTGCCGTTTAAACCTGGCGCGAGATACGCACAGAAGTACGTTTGTACAATTTTCTTGACCCGGGTTGATTTCAACCCTCCCCTTGGGGGGAGGGTTGAAATCAACCCGGGGCGAAATTTCAACCCGGGTCAAGCGCAATGCGTCATGTAAACGCGCCATACATTTTATGCACATGGCGGGTTGAAATCTGACCCGGGTTGAAACGCCTCATGTAAACACCGCCTAACTCTACCTTCACATACGCGAACAATGCTTGCCAATGAAAGAACTCACCAAACAGAACATATAAGGCAGTTTGTGATGGGAGCATGGTGTGCGGTGGCATGATAAGCAAGTCAACACTGTGTTAACTTAATTATCATCGGGACTTCTAAACCCAGTTCGGCTTGAATTTAGGCACTAAACCAATGTGTGTTCTCGCTCCACATATACTGGCACACACAGAAACATAGACAGCAATAGCGACAACACACAGAATGAAGGGTAGTTGGCCGCAGCCAGACGTGAACCGGATAACGAGTGAGGTATGGAAGCAAGAACTGAGAACAGAGCGTCTAAGATAGAATAGGTGTGCCAGCGGATAGCAGAAATAGACCATGATGCAGAACCACTTGGGACCGTCAGATTAATTTTTCTGAACCGAGCCAGCCGGAAAGAAACCCTTGCGCCGACGGACGAAGTATTTGATAGGAAAACAACCGGATGTATATCCCCAATGGCGATTAGGCATCATGTAGGCATGGCGAGCACATCACGGCAAACATAAACACCATGTCATTGTTATTCTTTTTATCCGGACCTCAACGTTTCGGACACCTGGGGTCTACTGGGCGCCCTGTCGGCAAGGTTAAGTGGAAATATTACTACTCTTTTGCCAATTTGTTTTGGGAAATAGTGACGTCGTATGCCAGATTTCTGGCACTTCTCCGTGCAAGCGTACGTGATTCGGAGTTTGAACATTTCCAAATTATGGGCGGTGCCCGATCCCAGACCGCCCGGATACGAAAGTTATGGGTAGTGGTCGGTCCCGGACCTCCAGGGCAAGAGAGTCCCGGACCTCCGGGGCAAGAGAGTCCCGGACCTCCAGGGCAAGAGAGTCCCGGACCTCACGGACAAGAGAGTCCCGGACAGTGGTCAGTCTCGGGTAGCGCGCCCGGATAAGAGAGATGTGTATTTGCACTGCACTGTGTTACATACAGCCTGACCATAGCGGCACAGTACAGTCAACTTCGCTACTAACTACTGCGGATATAACGACAGTTTGCGAATAACAACAGAATTCCATGCCCAGAGCAAAGTCCCATCTAACTATAATACATATAATGAGAATTCGGGTAAAAGGACACTTTGTGATTAAGGATACTTTTCTGATACCCCGCCGAGTGTCGGTACACGCGAAGTTGACTGTACTGCGGCACTGGTCGTCCCTGTGTGAAGTGTACTGTGCGTTGCCAAGGGTAGATCATTGAATGCTAGAGCTGCTTAGACCACAGAGGAACAGTGCTGTGGTGATCGTCCACATGTGTGTACTATACTGTACACTGTGTTTCCAAGGATACTCAGTAGATTAGCGATGCTAAAGCTGCATAGACCAGCATGGTGCAGCTGTGTTGCAGCATATTGATGTACATGCATACCTCGCTTATCCGGGCGCTACGGTCCATTCTATAGAGATTTCCACATGAGAAGTAAGAAGGGCCTACGCTTCGGCTCTTAACCCCCGATTCTTTGGGCACCGGAGAGTAGTGTTCAGTTGAAAGGCTGCAGAACAAGGAGGGTAACGTTGAGGGGTCTGTTATAGCTCTTGGTGGGTCTAGCTGAACAGGAGCATGCCTGTTGATTGTGGAGATATTGCAGGAGCTGAGGGAGCTTTCTGCATACCTTTGCAGCACGCCCAATGCTCCTTGTCATACCCTTGCAGAGAATCATCTGCAGATTAGTAGTACTTTTCAGCAAACACGCTGCTGTCTGCAAGAACATTGCAGCCAAATCTACTAATTGCAAGACTATTGCAGAAAATTCACGGCTGACTGTGACTTCGATGCGCTGGGTGTGTACCATGACGCCTCATAAATGCTGTTGTATTGGCGAGGCGGACACTAATCTCCAATGTAAAGTACTCGAGAACTTGTGGAGAGCGCTTACGTCTAACCACCCTTGATCAAGCCCATAGCGTTGTGTTACACCCTGACGGTAATTATGAGTGATTATCAGCGTGGTAGCAGGGACATTCTCTGGCAGACTCATCGAAAGAATGCGGGTTTCAGGAGTAATGCATTGCACAATGCAGCTGCTAATGTATAGATAAAGATGGCCACAATTTACCTGGTACCCACGAGCCACCACAATGATCATTGTCATCAGCTCACTTGAAGTGAAATGTTCCTGGCTATTTCTGCAAAGTAAGGCAGACAAAAAACCAGGCATATTGCTGTGGAAGCTGGTTTGAGGGCAAGGCTTCGATCCAGCCCTTTTCAATGTTAGCTAACACAACATCAGGTGTGTCTGCTGGTATGTGTGGATCGATTGGCAGCATTTGCAGAGGGTTAGGGGGTGCATGATTGTACGTACATGTACCGAGAGTTCTCCCTGTCTCACATGCGTTCTGCAGTCCACTTATCCTGTGTTTGTAGTTTCCAGTTTTCTGAGAGAAGTTCAGAGTAACATTAGATGTGATCCATTCAGAGCCATGTTGTCTACCTTGCACTGAGGTGTGTTGGGCTTTAGAAGCTAGGGTTGACGCCACCTTGAAATGGAAGAAGGGTGGCTGCTGGCTTGGTTTCTGCATACACTGCATAGTGCAATTTCTTCGCTTGTATTTCAGTCTTTCAGTCTCAATTTAATGCAGGACTAGTTGTCGAGCTGTCTAGCCTTTCAGCATGTTTCTACATCCGTCGGCAACATTTTCAGCCTGACAAACTGCTTTTGTGCTTTTGGTGGGAGTTGGGTGAAGTTATTCCCAGACTGACTTTTCTGCTTGCACAGGCATGGTGGTGGCTTGGCACAAGCAATGCTTCCTAATCTGATTTTGTTTCTCAGCACAATTGCATAGCCGGTGGGGATTTGTGAACTTTACTCTATCAAAACTGGCTTCGTAATGGACAATGGCTAGTGATAAGGACAAACTCTTCTCCCAGGTGGATTTAGACAGAGGGACTATGTTTACTAGCACATCATGTTGTAGCAAGTGTAGTTTGCTTGTTACTGTGGCTGGTGTACACACTTGATAAGGCCAGCTGTGCAGTGCAGCTCGGGTGATGGAGGATCGTAAACTCAGTATGCGTAACGCACACGCAAACACAAACACACACACACACACACACACACACACACACACACACACACACAATACACTACAATACAATACAATAATGCCATCCGAAGATAATGGCACACACACACACACACACACACACACACACACACACACACACACACACACACACACACACACACACACACACACACACACACATACACACACACACACACACACACACACACACACACACACACACACACACACACACACACACACACACACACACAATAGGCTAGCTGTAACACATAATACCTTGATGGGTTTTTTTAGAACGGGTAAAACGTGAATATGGAAGGAACTTGATGGTTGTTGGCGGTGCTGGTGAAGTAGGATTTTGCCTGAACAGATGGATTGGGTTACAACAACTCTACTCCAGCTAAACTGGATAGGGTACTAGAAGGCGTAAACGCACTTTTGTAACCAAACTGGAGGTTCCATGACTACTTCCCCTCTTGCTGGAAGGGCAGATAAGCTGTCTTGTCACACCTACATGTAACTAACGTGTTACCTGTGTATGCACTCTTGCAGTTTCACCTTCTACTGAGACAAGCACAAAGAACTGGTGACACATCCTCTATGGGGTTGTGTTTCACTGGTAACTAGTTACTAGTGGCCAGGCTTGATTGGGGAAAGAGTGTGATATGAGTGTCGGGTGACACTCCCTGAGCTGAGAACACTCACCTCTTCCTGACAGGCGGGCATGGTGCCAGTTAGTTAGGCTGTCTTGCAACCTCAGATTAGACTCCTCTGCTACATTAGATTTGACATGTTTTGTTCTTGCAGTTCCCCAGAGTCGCCACTAAGGTGTAAAGGCATAGTGGTGGCCTGCGGAAGCGAAGGCTATAGCTTGTGTGTTTCTGAACATTCAAGTGATGCTAACGCGGATCCCGCGAATATTATATTATATTAGTTCCCCAGAGAAAAAGTTGTACTGTCTACTTTGAAGTACAGTCAGACCTTGCTTATCCGGGGATCCCTCGCCATCCAGAAGAAAATCGTTGGTTACCAATTATTTACAGCATATGACAGGCATACATACAGTGTGTGTGTGTGTTCGATTATCCGGTTCCCTCGCCTATCGGGATATTTCTGTGGAACACCGATGCCTGCGGTTATGCGAGGTCTGACTGTATTAGTACTCAACTTGTGTACAACTACTAGCAGTTTCTTGAAAGTTTCACGAAGCTCAGAGCGTGAGAGGGGGGGGGAACCAGTTGCAACGAAGTCTTGTAAAATGGCCCAAACGATTTTAGTCAGAGGATTCTAAGTGTGAGAAGCACATCAAGCTTTGCACAAATACAACATCTTTGAAATTAATTTTTTAAGGTGATACTTTTCATGAAGGACAGGTGTTCGTATCTAAGAAGCTATGAACCACGTGAACTATGCATGAAAAAGTAGATATGCTGCATGCATATGCAAGCCTTTCTTCTATCCAGCGTGGTCCAATCATGCTGGAGCCTGCTCAGTATTATGTGTTTGTGGCCGCTGGTGCTTTTTTTGTGCAGGAATCTACTTCAGAGTGCTATTGGCATTCTGAAATATCCCATTCATTAGAAGCTTCCAACTTGGTCTCGAGTGTCCATACTCCCACCTGCTTCAAGGGCGTAGGCCCACAGGCAATCCAACACCAGGGCTAGGCGCCCCTGACATTGTTGTGGGTGCGGCATCGCGACCTCACCACGTGGACACACGGGTCCCCCATGGCCGCTGGTGCGACGCGCGGCCGGAAGCTCCGAAGACTTCTCCTTCTGGCGTTGGCGTGCGCAGTGGCAGCGGCGGCAACATTATCGTCATGCACTCACGCCGCCCATCCATCGCCCACCGGCCACGCTGCTGCTACTGCTGCCGTGGCGATGACAGCGGCGGGACACAGCTACAGCGCCTTCAGCGGTTCCCCCGGCGATGTGTTCACCAGCGTTCTCGTTCACGAGTACACCGGTAATGTGTACATCGGCGGCAAGGGACGACTCTGGCAGCTCAGCAAAGACCTGAGCGGGGCGCGCTCGCTCACGCTCGGGTCCGTCAACGACTCGCTGTCCTGCGGTCCTCCACCGCTGCAGCAGTGCAGCACGGCGTTTCCCCGGTACCAGCAGCGGCAGTACTTTGTCCTGGCCCTGCATGCCGACTATGCCAAGGGCAATCTCGTCGTGTGCGGCAACGTTTACCGAGGTGCCTGCCGTTTGCTTCCTCTCAGTGACATAACGTCGGGCGGGCCAACTCAACGGTATCTTCCATCGCGAGACGGCTTCGTCGTTCCGCCAGGTAGGCAGCCGAACAATTGTCTAGTTGCGTTGCCAGACTCACCTTTTCGTCTGAACTATTTCAACTGTTCATTGCTTGTGCAAAGTTTTTATTTTTCCTTTCCTGCATTACACTTATTCACAATGAGGGCCAGTCGGGCAGCTTAGAAGATGCTAGAAGCTGTAAAGTGTAAGGTTGTAGCCTTTTGTCTCCATTTTTTTGAGCAGGTATGAGCGTACATGTACTTCTGCATGAATCCCATACTAACTAACTAGCTCAATGCTTCGATTATATCTTGTCCAATAGTGCTCACGACACCATCGCTCATCTCCTCGACCCTGTCCACGGACGGTAAGAAGATGTTTGTGGCAACGCCGTCGTTCAGCGGCGATGGCAAACGCAACCCGGTGATCAGAACCCTGTCCACGGAGACCTATCGTACTCTCACCAATTACTCCGAGGTATGTACATGTAGTGATGTACAAAGCGGGGTATTTCCCTGTCTAGTTCCTGCTTTGTTGACGGGGTGACCAGGCTTGCATCCAGTCACAGTGCACCAGTGCACCTGTACGGTGTAGGATATGCACAGTGGTTCAGCGTTCTAGACATCTTGTCTTCCCCGTTTGCGTGCATAATTATGGTGGTGCAGTGCAAACCTCTAACTAAGGCCCATCTGCCACTAAAGGCCACTTTCTCTGGTCCCAAGGGGTGGTCATTAGTCACACCGTTTTATTGTATTTGCTTTTTACGTTCATCTGCATTCTGGGTAGATGCTGATACAGAATTCGGGCGACAACTTTCCGTCAGCGTGGAGAACGGCGTTCACTGCCGCCAACTACGTCTTCTTTGTCTACACGGAACAGGTGAGCATGAGCTCGACATTACTGTAACCATGACAACACTAGTGTGCTGCGTAGAAGCGCTGCATTCTCAGTTCGGAGTAGTTCTGTGTTTTCTTTGGACTTTCCTGAAGCTGCGCGATCAGTACTGCCAAACCGTACAAAAATATAACCTATAAAGTAATTTTGATGCGTGAAAAATGTCATCATTTTTCTTCTTCGGTGCGTTTTATGTCCCCATGACGTCGAGACCTCTGCTCGGCTGAGGGCAAAAAGCCTCACCATCACAATGCTCCCACTATGCAATTTTTGTCTTTGCCTGTGAGCTGTGATCATTGTAAAAAAGATAAAATAAAATAAATAAACATCAGACCAAGCAAAACTAGTCAACATGTTTTTGTGCTTTGACCTATATTCGTATTGCCTTCATGCCTGGTCACAATGTTTCGGATACTTTGAATTTCTTCTGCGTCTGACAGAGCAGTTTGATTCTGATAACATCGGATTCTCAAGAATTGCATTGCACTATTCCACTCGGACCGGCTGTGATGTGACGATAACATGTTGTGCTGATGTATGTGTGTGTGCGTGCATGCGTGCATGTGTGTGTGTGTGTGTGTGTGTGTGTGTGTGTGTGTGTGTGTGTGTGTGTGTGCGTATGTGCGCACGTGTGTGTGTGTGTGTGTGTGTGTGTGTGTGTGTGTGTGTGTGCGTGCGTGCGTGCGCGTGCATGTGTGTGTGTGTATATGCGTGTGTGTACGTGTGTGCATGTGTACATGCGTGTATATGTGTGCGTGTGTGCACATGGTATGTGTGTATGTGTGTGTGTGTGTGTGTGTGTGTGTGTGTATATGTGTGTGTGTGTGTGTGTTTGCGTACACACGGACACATGTATGTGCATGCATGCATGCACATACGTATGTTTCTGTGTATCTATGCTAGATTGACGGGAGAAAGTCTAAACCGACGACCACTCTTGTGCGCATCTGTTCAGACGATGGCGGATACAAGAGGTTCCGATACCATGGGTAAGCCCAAGGCTTGAGTTCAACCATTAAAGGCGGTGAACAGGAATACAATGAAACCTGTCCAAGACGACCGCTCAAGGGACCTTCAAAATGTGGTCTCTGTTACCAGGTGGCCTCCTTATCCAGGGTCATTTGACTGGAAATAGCATCCCTTGATCCTGGTTTCAGTGGTCTTCTGGGACAGGTGGTCGCCTTGACAGGTTTTACTGTACTTTTCTATCCTCACCATTATCACTACTACTAGTGCACTAAATACTGTAAAGTTAAGGTACTGTAAAGCGACAAACTTTCGCGGCGCGCAAATTTAGCGTTTTCATAAATTCGGCTGGTTTACGATGAGAAACTTTTGCGATTCTATCTTTTCAGTCGGATCTTGTACTGTCTACAATCAATGCACGGAGGGGTTTGCGGCGTTTTATATTCGCGAATGTGTGATGGTCGCGAAAATAGCGAAATTTAATCTCTAGCGAAAGTTTCTCACTTTACAGTAGCAGGATTCGCGGCCGCATCACCTGACGTGTTTAGGAACACATAAAGCAAATACATTCGCATCGGCGGGCCATCACTTCGCCCATATATCCTCAGTGTCGAATGCAGACCTCACAAGTGAGTCGGAGGGAGAGGGGATAAGTCTCTCAACAAGCGGGCATGTAACATCTCCATAACACCATAAACCGCATCTTTGTTACCCTCACACCGAGCAAGTGAGTACCCAGATCACCGTGGGTGTCGGCACAGTTCATTGCTTGTAAAGTGGTACTCGCCCGTATCACCGCGATGGAGAGAACACTAAACACACTTCCTGTTACCAGCGCAGGTTTTGCACTCGGGACCTCATGATTCACGGGCAAGCCTAAAAACAATCGGCTATACACGTTGGTTACTGCACAAGTACTGCTATCTATCATTTGTTTTGCGAGTATACCCATCCTCAGCTGTTTGGTGCGTACATCTCACGACGACTATACTCGTCTTTTCGCACGGAAAGGGCTAATATCATTGTGTTTTGCGCATGTGTGTTTCTGCGTAGGTATGGATCCTATGTGGAGATGCAGTATGGGTACACGACTAAGACATCTTCTGCTACTGGCAGCTATGCACAGGTATGTTATGTAGCAATGTTGATTTCTCAACTCTTGCCGCAGATAACCAGTCACGCATTTTCCTTCTTTAGCTGCACAATTATAGGCAAAGCTGAATCACGTTTTTAGGAGCTGCACAAGGCACTGCACATGTACATGTATATGTGTGTTTATGCTTACGTGTGTGTCTTTTTGTCTGTCTGTCTGTCTGTCTGTCTGTCTGTCTGTCTGTCTGTCTGTCTGTCTGTCTGTCTGTCTGTCTGTCTGTCTGGGTCTGTATCCGTGTGTGTGTTTGTCATTGTGTATGAATGTGGTGATATTGTTCAGGCTGTGCTGCATCTGGAGGCGGGTGAAAACCTTGTTGGCAATGCACCAGCCGGAGCACTCAATGAGGATCGTGGAATTGTCGTCACGGCGTTTGATGACCTGAAAGGCGGCTCACTGATCAGTAAGTCTGCCTATTCGTTGACTAGATGTTTACAGGCGGAACTCTTGAACAAAGTGCTTGTATGATCATGGCTTATATTTATTAGTGGTGGACAAACATCGGATATCAATATCAGAAACATGTAAAATTGTGATCCTCTTTGCTGCCTGATGATTGCGAGAGCATGAAACTTGAAGTAGCAGCAAACAAGCCTTGATTGCCTCCACGGTGTTGAGCACTGTCAGCACACTGGTTACATCCTCTGGTGATCCTCTTTTTCATTCGTGAGTGCATTTCTTCTTCTTTGCCTTCTTTTTGGTATGCTATAGGCATACTATCATTGCACTGGGTCAATGATGATATGTCGGAACGGGAGGTGCTGTGCAAGCAGCAGAGTGTGCAGGCGGGCACGGAGAATGTCGGCTCCATCAAGATGACCAAGTGCAACGGGGTGAGTGAGAGTAATGGGCGCTGCACCACTGTTAGTTTAGCTGTGCACCCCCCCCCCCCCACCCCCCATCCCCTCCTCTGTATATGTTAAAGCGTGTGTGCTGACATGTCGTGATTTACCCCCAAAAAGTCGGTGCGCCGTATACTAGGATGATCAAATGAGCCACAGAACACAGGGTAGCTGTCTGGGTTTCGTGACAAAATCTGTGTGCGGCATATATTCCAGTGCGGCTCATACTCCGGAGAAAATTTGGTAGCTCAAATTTTGTCCACCTCATGTACTTGGCATAAAGCAGTTCTATCTGTTTCCGGCTCCCCTGCAGTATCACACGGAGAACAACGACACCGAGGTGTGCGGCCATGAGAAGCATTCACCTCTGGCTACACCGCCGCGTGAACTCAACGACTCAAGCCTTGTTCTTCAACTGCCGGCCGAGTATCACGTCCGGTCACTGGCCGGACACAAGTACGGAAACCATACCGTGCTCTTCCTGGGCACTGCTAAGGGAAACGTGTTAAAGGTGAGTGTGGATGTGTGTGTGTGTGGCGGGGGGGGGGGGGGGGGGGGGGTGCGTGCGTGTGTGTGGGGGGGGGGGGGGGGGGTGCGTGCGTGTATGCGTGCGTGTGTGTGTGCTGGCAACCTGACACACACCGTTATCCGACGGCCCTTGCATTGCACAAATTCTTGGAAATGGCGTGTCATTGGTAAATCCTGGTTCAATTGCATGAGCATGTCCCCATGTCCTGCGTGCGCCTGTGTTCCCATTCTCTCTAGGTACTGGTGGATTCGTTCGGTTACCAGGCGGGCAAGGTGTTTGACAGCATTGCTGTGGACCCACTGCGTCGGCCCATCACCAAGCTCATCCTCTCACCCAACAACCACTACGTGTATGCCCTGGCCAACGCCACAGCCAGCAGTGGTGCTCCAGCATCTCAGGTACTTGCATGTAGAAACAGGCTGAGGGTCTCCTGAGGGTCTCCTGCCAGCACTGGCAATCCTCACTCACTCTAAGTATTGCCCTAGATCTTGATAATACATGTACGTCAGTAGCAACAGTACACTGACTTGTCAGTTTGAGCACTCTGGCAAGGTACGTTCGGGCCTGGTCTAAATCTGGCTTTGGAAAATTTATTTTTCACTGCTATCCGGTACGGCCTCTTTTTCTCTGTGCTGCGCTGATGAAACCACAAAGGACAAAACAATTCTGTCCGCAGATTGAGTAATAGCAATAGAATCTTTTTTAGAATGGCACAAAGCCTCCAACGGAGAGTGGTAGTCTTGGTGGCATGTGTGTACGCTGATGACCGCACGCATTCCTACATGTTTTTATGTATTTATTCTCACAATCTTTTGTTCACGCAGCTGTTCAAAGTTCCTGTGTCAGAATGCTCCCGGTTCAAGACCTGCTCGGCATGCACGTCGGCAAAGAGCTTCATCAACAGTGCCGTCGTTAACCCACTGTGCGGTTGGTGCGTCTACACAGGAATGTGAGTTGTTCTCTAAGGATTTTGGAAAGCCTTCATGACCAAGATGATGTGTAGTGATGACGGCGGAAGTCATCCTATTTATTGCTACTCTCTATTTCCATCACCACTTTCTCTTGAATTTGTTCGTGATATCTCAATTGACCCTTCGTGAAATGACGCTTCAGCTGATTCTGTTTATTGCCATCCTTTTAGACTCTAGTAATTTCAGATATTTTAGGTGCTTAATATTCTAGGTACATGTACTAAGTATGCAGGCAAAAGGCCAGGTTAGGTGAATAGAAAGTTTAGGCACAAATAAGCAGTTCCCTACTAGATTATGTGTGTGAAGCTTCCTCTGTGTTGCTCTGCGTGTTCTGTGTGTAAGTAGACCATAAAGCTAGCGAACACATTCAAATTGACCATTGGGTATGTACATGTTGTGTGTATTTCCTCTTGTTCACTTGTCGTCCGTCAGCTGTACGCACCGCGGCTCGTGCACAAAGCCTGCGGGAGCAATCCGTCCCTTTCACCAGAATGACTCGCTGTGTCCGGCCATCCTCAGCATCTCACCAACACTCATCTCACACATGACCTACACCATGGTTAGTGTGGAAGGGGGAGTTTCCCCACTTCCCCCTCCTCCCCCCCCCCCCCCCCCCCCTCCCCTTCTCCCCGCCCCAACATGGAAGAGGTGCTGTTGGGAAGGGACACAGTGTCTATTGTGTTTTCTTTAACAGCAGTGTGGAAGGGAGAGTTTCCCCACTTCCCCCTCCCCCCCCCCCCTCCCCCTCATCCCCCCACCCCTCCCCCTCTCCCCGCCCTGACATGGAAGAGGTGCTGTTGGGAAGGGAGACAGTGTCTATTGTGTTTTCTTTAACAGCATTGCGTCCAGTGTTCCACAGGGCAAATCACTTGAGAAATGTGGGAAGTTTTGTGTAGTTGTTGTCGTATGGATGCTAATCTTTTACCTGGTTCCACCCTGTGTGTGCTTCTAAGTGCGGTGTATCCCCATGGTTAGAGGGCCCCAGAATGCAAACAATGCAGCTCATCCCGTGTGAATAGCTAGCGCATGAGGAATCCACGTTGCCATTGCTTAACCGGCGCATCGTCGTACTCATCACATGGGAAGAGTCGACGAGGACACAAATGGTTTAAAAACTGCAATGAATAAGATAAAGTGCGCTGTCATTCCGTGTAGTCGATGCATTGCTTCTTGTGCCTGTTGGTGTTGTTTGATAGATTCGCGTGCATGTCGCTCACCTGCCGCTCAACCCGCCTGGCTCCCGGTACGAGTGTCAGTTTGGTGCGACGGGCCAGCGTGCACCCACACTGTATAACG